ATTTATTTATTTATTTATTTATTTATTTATTTATTTATTTATTTATTTATTTATTTATTTATTTATTTATTTAGACATACAGCGTTCTGCCTGCATGTCTGCCAGAAGGCCAGCAGAGGGCACCAGATCTCACTATAGATGGTTGTGAGCCACCCTGTGGTTGCTGGGAATTGAATTCAGGACCTTAGGAAGAACAGCCAGTGTGTTTAATATCTCTCTACCCGTCTCTCTACCCGGTGACTGAAAAATTTTAAATTTGTTTTTATTTATATTTATATGTGTGAGTGTATACTAGGTGCATGTGGTTGTCCTCGGGGGCCAGAAGAAGGGGTCAGATTCCCTGAAGGTAGAATTATAGGGTTATGAGCTGGGAGCCCTGGGTGCTGTCAAAGCACTTTTTTTTTTTTTGAAGATTTACTTAATTATTTAATGTATATGAGCGCTCTATCTGCATGTACACCTGCACGCCAGTAGAGGGCATCAAACCCCAGCATAGATGGTTCTGAGCCACTGCATGGTTGCTGGGAATTGAACTCAGGACCTCTGGAAGAGCAGACAGTGCTCTTAACTGCTGAGCAACATCTCCAGCCCCTTGAGACTGTCTTAAAAGTTTGAAAAAAGACCATTTACAGGTATAACTTCCTCTTATTCTACAAGTGAGTGGTGGAGAAGCCTGTAGTAACTCCTAATTAGTTTTGTTTCGCAGACTCGATTCACAGCATCAACAGATTAACCTCACTATGTCAAGCACAAATAGGACAAGTAAATTCTAGCAGCTCTGTCTTTGGCTTCATGCATCCCATGGAAGTATCTAAGTAACTTCATGGTTTCCTTGAGTTTCAAGAGCTCCTGTTTTTAGTTGAGCTTAGTGACACCTGCCTTTATTCACACCATCCTAAGAGGTGGAGGGAGGGGGCGCTGCTGAGACTTAAAGAACAGCATGGGCTAAATAAAAGCTTCTGCACCCCTCTCTGTGTAGGAGAAGAAGAATGCAGAATGTCAGAGAAGATCAACAGACTTGGAGAACATCAATGGCCTGTTGGATCCAGAAAACAGGCTGGTTTGTAAAATTGTTAGAAAATTTCCTTCTTGGAAGCAGGGCCTGGGACTGAAGTAGATGACGACAGTATGTGGCAAAAGTCTGTCCAGGATGCTGACAGTCTTCCTTCCATAGAGCCAGTTAACAAAACTGAAGGAGAGGACCAAAGGTAATGGCTTCTGTTTTGGTGATTCAAAACATTAGGCAGGTTAGGGGATACTAGAGTAAAGCCTTTGCTACTAAACATCTTTATTTAAAATAATCGGCCTGCCAGGGACCCATATTCTAAAGTGGCAGTTCCTGGACTTTGTCATTTCTCCTATCTGAAATTCCCATAGAAGTTTCACACAGAAATTGGTAGATGAGGAGAGGAAAATCAGATAAGTAATCAAATGGCAATAAAATTTCAAAGAGAGAAAAGAACATAAGTTAAAATAAGACTAAATAGAACAGAACACATCTAAACACATTTCCCTGAACCCCATTAAACAAACATCACATCCCTAATTTAGTCACAATGTGTATGATGAATATATATCTTGTGTTATAAGAAATTCAGACCAAATCTAAGGCACACACCTGAAATCCTAGCACCTGAAAGGTGAGGTTAGTCCGGTTGGTATATTTGTGTGTACATGTGCGTGCGTGCGTGCGTGCGTGCGTGCGTGCGTGTGTGTGTGTGTGTGTGTGTGTGATTGGCTGGAGTAGGGAATCAATGAATGACCCACAGAGAAATGTGTAGAAGTCTTCTCTTTAGGAGAACTCAGCGGGGAAGGAAGTCTAGCTCTCTACCCTATGGTGCTGTCTGCCTCTAGGGCTTGGGAATTGGCACCACAGTCTATGATTACCTGTAAGGCTGCTGCTTTAATTGTCCTGGTCTCATTTTTCTGGAGAAATAGTTTGGACCAAGTCAACTCTAAGCGTTTTGAGGTGAGCTTTGGATTGCCCCGAGCTGTAGCATGTCATAAGTTACAGCAGGTTTTTGCAGCCATTGAGGTTTAGATTTAGAATCTTCATGGCTTCATTTAGCACGAGCTTTCTGAAATATGAGAGTCTGGAAGGATACTCTGTTTGTTTTGTTACATGATAAGAAATTATCAATGTAAGGTACGTGGCTGGAGCTCTTGGAAAAAGCTATAGAATATGAACTATAGGTAAGTATTGATGAAAATACTGAGGGAAATTCACACTATACTTGGGATATTCAACTCCAAGTTAATTTTCTCCCTTTACAAATCGAAGAGAAATAACAATTCAGAGCATAAGGTAATCTAAAAACAAGATGCATATGGGATGGTCATTGGACCTAGGACACATGAGGGAATAAAAATAATTCATGAATATTTTTCTAATCGATGGATTTGATGTGTGAGTCCATTTTTTATCTTCCTTTATTGAAAAGATTGGAGTTAGAGGTGAGGAAATAAAATTAGACATCCTGTTGAAAAGGAAAATTTTCTGTGTCTGGTGAGGGGTGTTGTTGGGGTTCTGAACGGAAAGCTTTCTGTCTTTCCTAGGCAGCATGTTAGGGGCTGTTCTGGTGGTATGGGTATACAGATGCTACATTCTGGGCCCCAAGATCTGGTTACAGTCCAGACAGGTGCATTCTCACAAATGCCACTGTGTAAACTTGGTCCCCAAGTTAAATGGTTAAATAAAAGAGGATGAACAGCCTATAACTGTGAAGAAGAGAACTAAGCCGGGATTCAGTTCCTGGGCTTGGGATCTCAGGCAGGGACCATGAGGCCAGGAGAGGAGCAGAAGAGGCAGGAAAAGACAGAGAGAGAAGACATGGCCTGATGAAGCACAGTCAGCCCAGACAGGACAAAGATTGGCAGGTAACTTGGGGAGTGAGGCTGCCAAGTAGCTTAGAAAATTAGTTTAACCCATACCTGCCCATTGTGCTTAAAGCTTGTTTAAATAAATCAACAGGTCTCTATCTCAATTATGGGAGAACTAGCTGGTCTTTTCAGAAGTAATAAATATTCAACGGCAGCAGCACCCATTGGTCTGTGTCAGTCTCATCTCCGTGTAGGCTTTTCTTAACACCTTGAGTCTTCTTTTCAACATCTTCAGCATCCTTGCTCTTTCTTTAAAGCCTTCCTTGCCCTGTGGCTGCTTGCCTGGCCACGTGTCTGACCTCCATGCCAGTTTAAAATGGCCTTTATCCCTTTTTCCTCCCCTCCCCTCTTCCTGGAAGCTGCTGAGGCTTTGCAGCTTGCTTAAAGGTTTCCCTTTTCAGCTTGGTATTGACCTTGAGATTCTTAAGTCTATTCTTAAATTACTTTATTAAGAACCCCAGATGGAGACCCAAATTCCTCCTGTATCCCAAATTCCGCCTGGGAGAGGTGGAAGCAGAAAGGTAAGGAATTCAAGATCATCTTTAACTACACAGCAAGAGTTTGAGGCCAGCCTAGCCTAAAACAAAAGAACAAAACACAAGAGGGGGAATCCAAATGGTCCTGTAACCAGACAGCCAGCATGACAGTGGGGCAAAGGGATGACTTAGGGTAAGATCTAGGTAGACACCTCGCTCCAGGTAGGGCCCTGTGGGACATCGTGTGTCCATAAAAGAAAGTTGGTCGGGCTCCAGATGAGTTTGAACATGTGTTCATACATGTGCATATGCATACATATGTTTACGTGTTTGCTTGTGTGTAGCTCAGAATGGCCTGGAATTTTCAGTCTTCTGTGTGCCGGTAGTGCAGGCATTTGTCACTAGGCCTAGGTCTCACTGAACATATCAAGGGAGGTCTGGACCCTTGATATGGAATAATAGGCACAATGTGAATGAAGTGTATTTGCACTGCTACAACAAAATACCAGGGACTGCGTAGCTCATACAGAGCAAAAGTTTATTTCTTAGTTCTGCAGGCTGGTTAGTCCAAGGTCAAGGGTATGGCTAATTCAGTGTCTGGTGGCGCTCACTCACTGGCACGTGGACAGTGTCTTC